GTTAGTTGAACAAAACAACTAAACTCTTAAACTAGTAACTAGAAAATATACCACTCATAATACACTGTGGAGGCATGGAGAGAGCAGCATCAGAAAGAAACTATTAAAAAAATGGAAAACCTTACCTCTAGAGTATGAATGGAAATTTGAAGTGACTGAACACTTGTTATCCCCGCCAAAAGATCATTTACGGCAGCAGCATAATTTGCAGAATCAAACCAAAGATAAAAATCTATAACTGCTTCACAAAGAGACTGCATGTCTACAAAAACAAGGGGATGTAATTCTGACTCAGAGAAACTGAAGTAGACAAGACTTGGGGCATTGATCACGATCCGTGGAATGACTGGATTCACTGCTTCATATCTCATATTTCTTATGATAAGTCTCTTGATGGTAGGATTAGAAACCTCGAATTTTAAACAGTCATATCTTGCACAACAATCATCCAGAATCAGATCCTCAAGAACTGGGCAACCAGAAACATCCTTTCCACAGATTCAGCATTTGAGAATCCAACACAAATGTGAAGAATCTTAAGCCATGGGAGACAAACCTTCGATGGGAACTCAAAACTGTCATAACCCGAAACTAAACACAATATCAGGACCACCAGTGTCTCACAAGCAAATAAACTAGCTGGCAGGAACTCAAGATTGATATCAGATTCGGTTACGTCAAGCTCAAGCTCTTGAATACCATGGCACGATACAGCACAAATCCATCCATCAATTCGCGAAGTGTCAAATTGTGGAGTAACAATAAGGCCATTATAATGAATGCACTTGAGACGAAATCTAACTACAGATGGTCTGTTATGGAATAGCAATACTCTATCTACGAAATTCATTCAGTTGATTCACACTTGAATCATCACCGTAATACCAAAGTGTAAAGACACCTCCACCTTCTTGACACAAAGGATGTGCGCACTGCATCTTTAGTTGGAAGGAATGAGAGGATGTGGCAAAGGACTTCATCCGTCAAGCAATTGATGTTCTCCACGCTACTCACCGGCCGTTTGGCTGCCATTAAGATAGTAAAGATTGCTTCGGCAGCAATTCAGGCAAGAAAAAGAGAGATGATAGTACTAATTGCTGTGGAAATTCACAGACGGAAGCGAGCAGTTGGTGTTGATACTTAATAGTCAGGGTTTCTCCCAGAATCCTCAGTTATCTTGTGCAGTTAATCGACTTGGGTTTCGGAGTTGTTTTATTAGTTTAGAAACGACTGCAAGCCCCTGTTAGAGTGAACGGAAAGGGAATGAAGTCGTCGAAGCTGAGGATCGAAAGCTTCCGCTTCAGTTTTGGGAAGAGCAAAGAAAAGCAGACTGGAGCACCTGCGGCGTTAGTCACTTAGTTGCATTGGTTAAGGTGAATGAAACTCTCATTAAAAATCTTGGAGTTCTATCCTCTTTCCCCTAACATTTCCTATGTTTAAAAAATGAAAAAATGAGGATGGAGAATAGAGAGGATGAGTCTCATCTCATCAATGTCAGTTTTCAACCGAGTAGCAGCGGAAATCCAAAAATCATTTTCAGTCCAATTCGGGTCAATGTATCACCCGACCGCAACCATGGCCTTGAGTTTGGACTCTTTTTTTTTTTTTTTTACTGTGTATAATAGGAATACCCTTTCTTTTTATAAATTCCTTCAAATTTGAGTTAAAAATAAAAATTTAAAATTTAAAATTAATTAATAAAATGAGATTACGAACAAAATTTTTTTTTAACTAATTGAATTATCTTTCAAGGTATTGAGGTACTGACTCTTGAGTCAGTGTCGATCCGATCTATGGACTGAAACTCTAAAAAAATGAAGGGCCCGAAGGAAATGCTCAACTCAGTTGGGCTTAAGGGGCTTGTGTTTCTTTTGGGTTTTGGACTTGGTTAAGTTCAACGCCCAAAAGAAACATGATGAATGAAAGTTCCAAGGAACAATGAAACGGGACGATATGAAACAGGGCTTAAGGGGCTTGTGTTTCTTTTGGGCTTTGGGAGTTGGTACTTGGTAAGTTTGACGTCCAAATCAAAAGAAACATGATGTAAGGATGAAGGAAAAAAAATGGTCCAATTAAAGTTCCGTGGAGAATAGTGTGCTGACAAAAATAATCGAAATATAGCTTATAACAAAATACCCTGCCGCGGTGTGGCCTTACCGAACTCTTTCTTTTAATCGCTTCTCTTCCTCTGATAAACTAAATGGCAAAGAGGGAGTTTGGTCAAATATTGAAGGGGGGCCAAAAAGTTTTTTATTATATGTAAATATTTTATAAATTATAACGCTTCAAAGGTGGCTCAACCTTGGATATCACTTTATAAAATTAAAATTTTTATTTATTCACATTATAAAAATTTATATTTTAAGTCACTTTTCACACATATTATTTTAAATTTTTTAAAATTACTAATTATCTTTATCTATTATGTTCGCTACAAGAATTCACTGTATCACCGACGAGCAGCCATGTTGGAAACAAGAGGGAATTTGGTCGGTGAAGTCCTATACCCACTTGAATCACGTCGGTGTTCGGTTCCTCGGTGAAGCCGGGCTTGGTGATTCAAACACCGACGTAGATGGAAATCACGTCGGTAAATGTACCCAAAATTACCGACAAAGAACATCTTGGAAAGAGGGAGCCGGAACACTTCACCGGAAAACATTTCTGGTTCCACGTCGGTAAATCACCGACAAGCATAACGTCTGCATATAAAAAGCAGCCTCGTGCCCAGTGCCTATCACCGACAAAAATCACGTTTGACAATCCAAGAAAACTGCTTTGCAGTTTGAGCCATATTAGTAAATCACTGACAAAAACCACGTCTGAAGTACACAAAAATCTTCCCTCCAGGTTTAAATGATCTCCAAAATTTTAGGCGCCAATTTTTTCAGGCACCATTTTTTGATTTTTGTTTTCCTAATTACCGACGAGAATCATGTTGGTAATTGAACTTGAAAAAATAAAAAAAAAATCTCGAATTCAGCTCATATTAAAATTAATATATATTTATTGTTTAATTAAATTAATTTACAATTAAACATTAAGTAATTCATAATATTT